CTATATATATATATATATGTATAATAAAATCGTCATAAATATCTTCGGAAGCAGCACAAGGTGAGAACACTGGCATTTTGCTGACGCACAACCATGACAATTTACTTTAATAAACCATCATGATGGAAAGAAGGAAGCTAGGGCTGCGAGAGAAACTTAGGGTTAGTTTTATCTAAACGTCTCATGTGCCTACACAATCACCATTAGGTTAGATATTGGCAATAAAGACTGACGACATGAAAGACCATGACACCACTTGACCTTCATACCGTTCAGTATCTTCAGCGAAGCGCGGAGAAGGTATCGTGGAATCCAGCCTGGAAGACCAGTCGCAACAAGGGAACCCGAACTTTTCGTAACACCCACCGTTCGCTCTTGTCTGTCGCCGCGAATTAAAAACTGTAAAAAGTTGTTTTCTGCAGACGGTAAAGCGGCATGAGTGACAATTGGTTCGGTCATCTTAGCTTGTGTTGCTGTATACACTGTTTCGGTGAAGTAGCTTCTATTAATTCAAAAAAAGTTCGAAACTGAGTGAGTAGCCATCATTTCAGAAAAGTTTGACGGAACCATCTTCAGAAGCAACTAAATGCTGCATTACCAAAGAATTGTCTTCTGCTCATCTCGTTGCGAATTCGCTGGTTCTAGCCAAATTGAACTCTGGTTCGGTGATCAAAGCCCGAGAGATGCCTCAAATCCTCCGTCGGAAGTGGGAATTTTCGCAATCGTGCAACAATGCAAGCCTCATTGCAACCTGATACAAGCTTCCTTTAAGACCCATTGACTTACGTGTCTGATGCCACCTGGCACTATATCGGCAGACGCAATCGTGCCGTTTTCTCATTAATTTAGAACCCATTCAACTTCCGAGATGGTATAGTGTTTCAGACATTCCAATATCCCTCCTTGAATTCGTCAAGACATTTCCAAAGTCCCGCAGAATGTCATTGCACTTTGTGGGTGCGAAGTGTATGATGACGGAACACTTAATGATTGCACCTTCTGCTTTTCTTTAAAAGTGAAAACAGTGCCGTCTGAGGACTCTAGGTTGACCAGTTCTTCATTCAGGGAAGTTTGAATATCAGGGTTTTAAAGGCCTCTCTAAAAACCTCACCAATGACGAAGGTACACAAAATTGATGAGACTAGACATCATTGCTATCGTAGGAAAACCTTTGGATAGCTCACCAGGTACCTCCACGAGCCCACAGGTATGCAAATACGAGCAAAATACGACATTCAGGAAGCTCTGCGACGTACTATAGGTAATTAGGGAAACAACCCGGTCGTTAGGATCGAGCGCACTCCCAAAGGGAACACTTAAATTTTGGCCCGCATATACGCATGCCGTTGCTCTACCAAATGACGGGATGTAAAGATGTGGTCCGCACAACCTCTTTCCGTTCGGAATACCCACGTTCCCTCATATGAAGACGCAAACTCGTCAACATAAAGAGTCTAGCTACAAGTGGGGTCGTGCTAATTCACATTCGCTAAGAGCACCTCGTTTTAAATGCGCACTAATTTCAACTCATCCCTGAGACTTTCTGTCTTCCACTCGTAGGCAAATAAGTTAATCAGACACCGATAAGGAGAGTTGAGAATCCAACTAATTAACTGCAACTGGCCAGATTAATTGTTAATATAAGTATCCAGCCAAAACATTCTGGCGTTCTTCCTTTGCAGAGATGAAAGAGCTGTTTTATCATTGGTTGTCGTGCCCACTAGAACCTATTTGGAACTTTTGCGCACGTCAGTTGGAATAGTCTCTGTATACTCCAGAAGTTTTTGGCTTTCTGCAGATCCTCAGTCCTCCGGACCAACAAAACCTCTCGGTCCATACAGATGCTATCTGCAGTTGATTTTATGCTGTGCTATCGACCAGGATGAATATGTATCCGAGTTTCGACCAAGCTTAGAGTTTCACATGAACTCCAATGTCTTGATTGGTTGGTTGATTGCACCATTCCGCATCCAGGGTGTCACAGAGTAGAGGATAGTACTTTCCAGAAAGAGTCAGAAGACGTTTCATCTGAAAGAAACTTTAGTAGGTAATTTCAATAGATGTGATTTACACCAGGATCTGAGAGCTTCTCGATTACCAGCTTGCATGTTCGCATCTCGCGCGCCCTTGGAAAGCGCAAAGAAGAGCAACAAACAACATGCGCGTTATCCAAATCCACATGGGTGTTCCAGAACAGGTTACAATCAGCGACTGATTCATACTACCAATGGCTAGGGGTGGTGTGGTCTATCTGTGTAAGAGGTTGGCTTGCATGTGGCGGAAGGTGGTTCAATGTGGTCAAACTGCTTCGGTTGTTTCATAAATGAGTAACACTCAGGAACAACCCATGGCCAGCACATAACTGCAATGGGAGTCCACCATTCTCCGTGCGTCTTAATTCCAGTCCAAGGCGATCATTCCACTGAACCTTAGCAGCTACTTACTTGAACATTCACGCACCCGACAACCACAGTATCTGAGCTTCTATCTGCCTCATAAAAGGCGTACCAACTCTGTTTGAGTGTATCAGAGCGGCGGCCTGTCGGGACGTAAACAAATACGATGACAAGGCAGCGATTATCGCCGCGTTTACGGGATATTTTCACAGACGTTTCCAAGCGAACCGTATAAAGGTGACTGCCAAAGGGTCAACCAGAAACCCTTCAGTTTGTCAGAACCAGCCACCGGGACTCCTGGATCACCAAAGGTGTGCCACTGGAACCGAGAGGAAACTGAAGGAGAGATCGTCTCACCAATAGCATTTGGGTCTTTAATCTTTGTTTCAGAGCGACAGCATACATCAATACAAAGCGAGTTCAGCGCAAATGCAAGAGGAGTGTGTTTTCCAGGTTGCTTTAGCGTGTGAACGTCAAAGTCTGCCAGATGCACTCAACGTTAAATTTTTAAGCACGGCTTCAAAGTGGCTGCTGCCTTGTCTGTGAGTCGGCCGTAGATATGGCAGCTAAGGGCAACAGACAGTAAACGAATTTCTCAGTCCTTAAAGTTGGAGGAGGTCTCAAACATCGGGGTGAGGAGGAAGAGAAGAATGAATACGTGAAAGAGGAAGAATGAAGGTTTCATCCTTAGCCCATTTTTGCTTAGTAACCCTGCTACATGCAGTAATTAAGGCGACCGGTTGATGGTGTCATGCAAAACCCAATGTGGCATGAGATTATTTGAAATTGAGCAACTCATGTTTGGAGACGGGCTGAAATACTCCCCGGGCTATTGGACCTAGTCAACTGGATGACTGACGTCTTCCACCAAAGCCTTTGTTTCAAACGCCCAACCGCAAGGCAACGGTGGTTGGCATAGCACCGTCAGATTAGCTTTCATTTTAAGGGAGCAAGTTATCACAACTGTTTTCCTCCCCTCAACTTTGAGAACCAGGAGACTGTGTTAGCCACACCTCTCTCCATTAACCAACCTGCAATGAGAGGCCTAGTGAGTATCACACGTACACCTACCTACATAACACGATAAGACTGCACAAACCGTCACGAAACTGGTTAGCGCAGACCCGTCGTCCTATCCACAGTAAGCATTGGAGGTGAGGTGTTATCTATCCCAGACAGCAGAACTCGAAATGTAGAAAGATCGTTCCAACAGTTGTCGTTTCAAACGGGAATTCGCCTCTTTATTCTGCAGGGACCACGTGATGGGACCTGTGCAGTCCCCTCATATTAGAAAAACCGCATACGCGAAGCGGATCTTCTAGACATCAGTGCTACACTGATGACGTCTATGCATAATTGCATGACATTAGCTATAGAGGAGAAGCTGGAAGTTTTGCAACGTGCACGCTTCAGACTCTGCTGCAGGCATAAAGCGAGAAAACCAAAGGAGGATCGTAAACGTACACTATTTTATGCGCAGTTGGTATACCCTTGGGATAAAGTATAAGGTGAGCTGATCACCATATAAAATAAGGAAGGCTTCGGAACCAAACACAACTGTTTTCTACAAAAAAACGGGATGCATCTCTCTCGTGAGTTGAATTTATTGGCACGAAATACGAATTCTCTGAATGGAACGCTTCCAATTACTCACAAGAGACATTTTTTGAACTTGAAAATTCCATCCGAGGTGAAAATATTATAACTGGGTAA